GGAAGAGCAGTCGGCGCTCTTAACCTCTGAGCCATCTCTCCAGCCCCCGAGAATATACCTTTAATACTTAGGATAATTCCCTACATGAAATCCGAAACTGTGGTGTGGAGTTTAACCCACCACATGCCACACAGGCAGGCTGGACACCTGCTGTCCTGCTGGAGGCAGTTCCTGAGCAAGATGGCAGGGCAGGCAAGCATGCTGGGTCATGGGTAGATCCAGGGTTTGCAGTTGGATGGGACTGAATCTGGATCTTGGCACTAACCCTTATGGGCTGCTTGATCTTGATGAAATGATGTTCGAGCCCTAATCTGCACTCCCACCCCTATTCCTTCAGGCACATAAAATGGGCAACACTTTCATTGAAGGTTGTTTTCAGTACTGGACAGGGGTGCTTGGCCTGGGGGATGTGGAGCTCAAGGTGTGATGCCTAGCTGCCTGGGGCTATAGGTCAGCTCCACCACCATGAGCAATTCCTCATTTGTAAGACGGGGATTGTACATGCCTCTTGGCTTGTTGAGAGATGAGTATGTGCTGTGCTGTGCTGTGCTGTGCAGTAACAGAGACACTGAGCACGATGTGCTGATGTGGGCTTACAATTCCAGCATTCAGGAGGTAGGGGCAGGATTGCAAGTTCAAGCCCAGCCCAGATTTCATAGCAAGAGAAGCAGATCCGGAAGGCAGTGTAGGACTAGCTCAGGGCCCCAGGCCTGTCCATCAGGCTGCTTAGTGACTCGCTCTCAGGTCACTGATTTTATTTTTGAAGCAAGTAGCCCCAGCTGGCCTCTAACCCACTATATAGCAGAAGATGGCCTTGAAGTTTCTGGAATTATGTGCACCCAGCATCACTGTTTGTTCCCATCTGGGTTCCTGCCAAGGCTGTGCTCTGCCACCCCAGCCCTAAGTAACACATTAATAAATGTCTCCCTCCTGCCCTTTATGTTTGTCACTTGGCCACTACAGGGAAAGGAAAGGTCCTGAGATTTGTCAAACATTGACACAAAGTTGTGTTTCTGTGCCCTGAGGCCAGGCCTCCTGGGGGAGCTTGTGGCTCTTTTCAACTCTCACCACACACTGAGAACAGGCAAGGGCAGGGGGCACTAGACAAGCATGTCAATGGGGGGTCATGGGACCCTCCCTCAGGGTAAAGCATCTGGTTGACATACTACAGGCTGTTGGGGGTAGGGCAAGCAAGTTCTGTAGGAATGAAAACAGAACACAAAGCCAGCCAAGGGACCTGGAACCGGCTCTCTGCTTCAGAGGCTAAAGCCGATGACCATCAGACACCGATGCTGTTTATGGAACATCATGCCAAACACTTTCCATGGGAACACTGTTTCCCCAGTCTACAGTCTACAGTCTACAGGAAAGCTGAGGACAAAAGTGGGGGAAGCTGTTTGCTTGAAGTCACATAGCCACTAAGAGGCAGAGCTTGGACTCAAGTCCCTCACCTTGGCTCTAGATCCCAGCTCTTCACCACCCAGAAAGTGTCATAGGAGGGCAGGTACAGGGTGCCAGGGAAGGGCAGCTTCTCACACTGGCTTGGGAGGACTCCTGTAGGGGCAGCATTGGGATTAGAATCCAGAGGTGGGCAGGAGACGATGGGGAGTGCCAGGTGCCTGGGGTGCCCTAGCAGAGGCCAGGAGGGGCTTATGGCCCTGAAGCTCAGTGTGTAGTGGGCTGAGGCTGGCATTTCAGGGTCCTGAAACAGGAGCCTAGGGACACCTGGCCACCACTAAGGCATTGGGAGGAAACAAGTGTGCAATTCAAAATGACAGTAAGTATGACTCTATATCTTGTTTATATAGGTTAACAACTGACATCTGACCCGGTGTGGTGGTGCAAGTCTTAGTCCCAGTACTCAGGAGGCAGAAGTAGGCAGGTCTATGAGTACCAGGCCAGCCTGGTCTACAGAGTGAGTTTCAGGACAGCCAGGGCTACACAGAGAAACCCTGTCTCAAACAACAACAAAACCAACCTCCATCAGCCAGCACTGCTATCCACCAGCACCAGAGTAACTCATCAGGTGCCAGCAAATATATCAAATGGTACCAGAAACAGACACATGAGCTTCTCAATCACATTAGGTGAACCCCTTACCTGAGACTATGAAAGGAGAGCCCCATGACTAAAATGTGACCTGCATCCTGACTAGTCACCTGGTTACTCACTGTGAGCCTCATCTAGGAAATTGTCACAGTGGAAAACTCTGTCCTTGGACACCAGTTTAAGCACAATTTCTCCTGCCCACAACATCCAAGCTGCCTCAAACTGACCTTCAAATTGGCCTGCCACCTGACCTGTCTGTTACATCACTGTGCCCTGTTAACTGTGCCCCTGAAGCCCCTAAGACTTCCTATCTGGCCCTCTGTAGACGTTTCCTGGCGTCTGTGTCAGCTCTCTGCCTCAGCTTCAGGTCAGCCAGTATGAACTCTGAGCCACTTCAACACCTTGTCACCTGCATATGTAACTGTGTGTGGGATGTAATGTGTTAATAGTAGAAAGACTGGACCCCTGGGGAGGAGGCTGAGTCAGGACTGTCATGAGACTGAGGCCAGCCTGGGCTATGGATTGAGCGCCTGGTCAGCCTGAGACACAGCGTGGGACCATGCCTCAAAAAAGGAAGGAAGGAAGGATAAAGATTAGAATAACAGAACCTATGATCGCCAAAGGCCAGCTATCCTGGAAAATGGGAGTTAATTGGCAACATGAAGCCAACACAGCTGATGTAGCTTGTGAATTTGTTGTCAATCAATAAATTCTGACACTGGGGAAAGACATAGCTTGCTCCTTTATGCTTCTGCTCTAACATACTGGAAATGCTCTCTTTGGGCCATGTTTGTGTCTATGGCTCATCATGGGATCTTTCCCAAATGGCTAACAAATTACTCAATAGCAACAAAATTTGTGTAAGTGTTTTTAATGCAGAATGTTTTTATTTCTATGACTTTGTCTAGGTTTTGTCACACAGAGCCACTTTTACTTAGCCATGTTGCAAAATGAACAATCTCCCAAACATGGTAGCTTAAAGCAGCAACCACCCTTTTTCCGGTGTTGCTTATGGTTTCTGGGGATCTTAGGCTGCACATGGCCGCAGGCAGGTGGTAGGTGGGTTGAGTCACCTGAAGGCTTTCTCACACTTGTGTCTGGTTGTTGATGCCAGTCAGCAGCTGAACTGCTGGTATCAACATTTACATAGGTCCTCACTGTATATCATGGACATCCTTAGGGCCCAGAGACTGGGTTGTCAGTGCCAGTGTGCTCCCGATATAACACAACTTAACAAATGACCCAGAGACCAATGTTGGGGTTCAAACTTCAAGTTGAATTTCAGAAAAGCAAAGCAGCTGGCCACTAGCTTCTTATCTCTACCTCAGGCTGATCTTGTCTCCACGAGCTCTCACCAAACCTCAGACTGTAACCACTCCTCAGCATGGCTGGAGAATAAATGCCTCTCTGAGACCTTGCTTCTGTCTTATATACTTCTATAATGTTAGGAATAAAGGTGTGAGCTATAATTTTAGACTAATTCACTCTTGTGTAGATCCGGGTGGCCTTGGACTCACAGAGATCGATCTATCTCTTAATTCTGAATCCTAGGATTAAAGGTGAATACCACCACCTCCTAGCTGCTGTGATTAATGGTGTGTGCCTGCCTACCTTTTATGGTTTGTGGCTAATTTTTGTTTTTGAATCC